CATTCCATTCCATAAGGGGAAAATTGAATGTCCAAAGTCACAGCTAATACATATCAGATGGGATCTGAACCATACTGTGATGTTAGAACCCCTATTTCTTTGCTATGGTGTATTACATATATATGAATTGTTCATTCCATAAGGGGAAAATTGAATGTCCAAAGTCACAGCTAATACATATCAGATGGGATCTGAACCATACTGTGATGTTAGAACCCCTATTTCATGCCTTTGCTATGGTGCTGGGCCCTTGTTCAGCCATCGAGAAAGATGAGCCCCACTCTTTGGATGCTGTGAAAATGCTTGCTCAGTATCTTCTCCAACTTCTAACTTAGGGGAGCTCAAACTTGAGTTAATATTGGAATCATCTGGGGGAAGCCTGGCCATTGAGGCTTTTAAGAGTCCTCAGGTACAGCCATGATAGAAAACAAAAGCACCCCATATGTCCTAGTGTTCTTTCTGGTCTCTGCAAAGCTAAGGAAGTATGTACATGACCCAGATCCTCTTTCCTTTAGGGTTCTTGTTGCAAAGTAGTTTTCATCAGTGAAATGCATTTGACTGAGACTTGGAAGAGAAAGTGAAGCAAAGTTTCATCTTTTTGATGGAAACACTACATTTCCTGAGGGTAGTTTCATCTATAGTTCCCTGGGTCCTAAGCTGGGACAGCCTCCTGTGTTCTAATCACTGGACTCAGCAGAAGCAGTACACTCCGGAAATCCACTTCACTGGAAGCCATCCCATCTACATCCCACTCCTTCAGGCCCTCTGAACAACTCTGTAAGCACCCAGTTACTTGTATGCAATTTCTGTAGGAGTTTGCTCCTAAAACTGGACCAGGAGCGATACTATTACAGTCTAGACCCCAAAATATCTCAGAGATTAGTTTCAAACTCCTTTTAAAAAGAACAAACACCTACCCCAGGTATTTGAGGTTACAATTTGGCTTCTTCAAAGCCTCGCAGAGAAACCACAGTCCGGTAGCTATGGGATTGAAGCCCAGGTCCAAGTGTGTCAGGCTGGAGTCTCCTTGGAGAAGCTTTGAGATGTGTTTGCAGCCACGTCTGGTTATGTTGCAGCACCACAACCTACAAGGACAATCATAAGAGAAGTCCATTATCCCTCTGTGACACATGCCTTGTGAAGTGGCTGTCACTTATACTACCACACATCTCCTACCTCAAGCCATATGCTATCACATAGGCTTATTCATAACAACGTACAAATGGAATGGTGATTATATTATTTCCACTCTGCCTAGGTGGTAGTTGGTGAAACTGGCCTTTGATTGCCACCTTTTATTACAAAGAAACACACACATCTCCTTAGATACAGGTTTTCCTCAAATGGCAGCATATTGTATAGGTCAAGAGCTCAGGTTCTGGGTTCAGAGAGACTCAAAGCTGAATCTGAGTCTTCCTCACTTATCTTCTGCATGGTTAGGTCTTTGAGATTCCATTCTCCTTATTTTTTTTATGTCTTATTTTAAGTCTTGTATTTAATTGCCCCGGCAGAATTGGGGTGCACCCAGAAGCTCAACATTCCTGGTGTCTTAGTGGCTGAGTTTCTAATTTAAATGCTATAGACTCTCTTACAAGTTTAGACTTCTACAAACTCTCCTGATGAGGAGGCCAGACCCCAGAGAAGGGTGGTCACATGGCACATTCAGGCAGGTGAATCCGAATTTGACCCTAATAGCCCCATGCCGGCATCATAGCAACAGAAGCTAGAGAACGTGAAGGGACATGACAAAGAGCAGATGAATATAAGGGGCCCAAAGACGCCATGCTTTGTATCATGCAAAAATCCTAAAATCACACGTGAACCTGCGGAGTTTAGGGAGGGAAACTAAAACAAAGTCTAAGATTATTTACATTCGAGCAGCCTACAAAATGGAATCTTGGTCCAACATCAACTTTACATATTTAAAGTAATAATCATTGACAACTCTGTTTATAGAGGGGGCTTCATACCTACTATGGGCAAGCTAAGTGGTGAAGCCTCGGTTTTCTAATTAGTAAAACTGAAGTAAAGGTAACTATCACACATGGTTGTAAGTATTAAAAAGAGAATTCTTATAAACTTTAGTAGAGTCCCTGATACTAAGTACTTAAAAAGCTCCAGATATTTTTTTATTATTGTTTAGATGCCTTAATAAACTATCTTTTAAATAGAGCCATCTACATAGCAATATCATATATGAAATTTTATTTCTTCTAATGAATATTATTTAGGTAGAGATGCAATCATTTTATTTTCTCTATCAGCTCCTAGAAGCTGAATACTCATTTTTCCTTTTTAGTCTTAAATGATTGGGGCATGGCTGGAAGCTATTGAGATAACTGGCAGACAGGTTTTCTAGGACAGCAACACCCCCCAGAGAAATCAAAGCCAGATAGAATTTCTGAACAGAAGCAGGTCCCCAACTCCACACTATCTCTATCTCTTGAGTGTTGCTCTTTCACCTGTGAGTCTAATGGGTACAGGTAGCTTGTGCTGGGCTTGTTCCCATGTGACAAGGTCAGCAAACTACAGCCTCTGGGTCAAGTCCAGCTCGCCACCTGTTTTTGTAAATAACATTTTATTGGAACATGCATTCCTTTACACATTCACATGACCATGGCAGAATTGGACAACAGGAACAGATATCAAATGGCCCACAAAGCCTAAGATATTTACCTTCTGGCTCTTTACAGAAACATATAACTCAATCCATTCCCAACTTCAGGGAGAAGTATGCCATAGGGACTCAGAAAATACACAAAACGGCAGACCTCAGAACCAATTGCCTAAACCAACTTCCTAGAATAGGAAAAGGCCGGAAGGTAAACTCTGAAAGGCAGGCAGATGTTAACACCTGTTTCTACATGTTCTTACATAATCTATACCAGGATCTGGCCAGATTCATTCAAGTAGAGTTATTAAACAGTCTCATCTGTCCTACATGTCACACACACACATACACACAGCAGGGACTTACACCAGGGTCTGTAGCTGACATTCGGAGTAACTCAAGCCCTCACACAAGAGTTTCACCCCACTATCCCCAAGGTTGTTCTTGGCCAGGCACAGGTGTGTCAGACTCTGGTTGACAATCAAAGCAGAAGACAGTTCCTTGCAACAAGCCCCTGTAAGGTGACAGTTTTCCAACCTGCAAAAGCACCACATCTGAACAAGACCATGAGAACATTTCCAAAGCCCAAACTTCTCAGCTGACATCCCTTCTTGTTAATCCTACACCCTCTCTATCTTGAGCTGGTGATCAAAGCCATGAAGGACCAGAAACAAAAGAAGAGCAAAGAAATTGCATGAGTCATCTGTCTAGGGCCAAGAAAGGAGAACCAGGTGTCTGCACCAAAAGGAGATCCCATATGGGTTGCCCTGAAAGTCTGGTGTCACCTCACTCTTCTCTAGGTAACCCAGATCTAAAATGAAGATGCTCCATAGAAGGAGACTTACGACAGCCTCTGCAGGAAGCACTTTGGGTGTCTTAGAGTGGCACACAGCAACTTGACTCCTGCATCCAGCAGCTCACTGGCCGTGAGGTCCAGGTACTTCAGGGACTGGTTGATTTTGAGGGCCAAGGAGAAATCATCCCACTGCTGAGGGATGTTAGAACAAGGCCCCAACCTGTGGGACACATGGGGACAAGTCATTCTTCTGGGAAGACAGAGAGGAAGACCCTGTCATCTGATTATGCTTCTTGAAGATTATGTCCTTGGTTTTCATCTCATTCTACTCCAGTGTGTATCCAATCCCAGCCTGATTTTTGGAGAGAGTTAATCCCCTTGGCATCTTCAAACATCTATCTGACCATTCAATCAATATCTAGCCTCATCTCTAGGAGAAAAAACATGTGATGCAATTCTGTGTGGCGTTTCACCAACACGACCTGCTATTTTTCACATCCAACTTTTTTTTTTAATATGATGACTTACCCTGCCTGAGTCTGTCCTAATCTCACTGAGACCTAGATATGTGATTCTGTAGGGGAAGAAACATTGAGGCCTGATACTCAAAAAGTTCAAATTCATAAATTACTAGGGAATATGCAAATTAAAACAAGGAGATAAAATTTGAGCATTAGGCAGTGAGGTCCAAAATTTATTGAGTCTAAGTGCAGCAAAAATAAGGAGAATTTGGAACTCTTTCTGTTGGTGGCAATATAAAAGTGACATGGCTATTCGGGGGAACATTGGGGCAACCCATTAATACATTCTATTAGGCTCAGAAACCCAGCTACCCTTACAGATGTAAATCAGAGTGTAAGACACTAGGACAAGCTTATTGTTTGGATCGTGATTCTGTCTTTTACCATGCCCCAAATCTTTGCAAGTGATTTAAACTTTGTGACATTCTCTTTTTTCCCTATCTGTACTTTGGGAAGAAACAATATCTTTATGTCAAGCAAATAAAGAATATAATCCATCAATATCCTGTGCCCATATTCTGGGATGCATGTCATAGGTAAAATTGGAATACTTAAGTGAGTGCCTTTCTTCCCTTGGAGCTTCATCTATTTCAAGGACATCATGAGTTTACTTAAGTAACTGGAATACAAGGTGGCATGTAAACTGTCTCAAATCATGTGAACATAAGTTGTAAATTCCATGTCAGCCATTTGTCATTTTGGAGCCTCAGTGTATCCACTTAGAAATGTCATTTATCACAACTTTAGAGTAACAGATGTTTTTTCCAAATAAATGACAAACAGCACCATCAGAAATCATCAATAATGATAAACACTACCATTTCTGCATACAGATCAGCAAGGGTTTGAGGTCATTTCCAAATCACAAACCTGTGCCAGTAGCCAGAACCTCAGGTTTCTACTCAACTGAGTCAAGGGGAAAAAGTGGTATGCTAAAGATGGGTGATAATCAGAGACGTCACTCATTATGGGGTTCACTGAGGAAGGGGCTCAAACCCATGAGCCCCCAGGAACCTGGGCTTTCAATGCTTCTACAGCATTAGTGAGTGGCTGGTTAGGGTCGATGGCTGCTCTGAATCACAGCAGGAAGGCAACATGCAGCCTAAAATACCAAGTCCCTAAGCTAGAGGATGACACAAAATTCGAGGTGTCTCTTTGCATTCTGGGCTCAGTGTTCAATGCAGAGGACAATTCAGTGCTGGATGGGGAAAAAGCAGAGGCTGAAACCCCATACAGGCTCTTCTGAGAATATGCTCCCCCTACAGCATGATGTCCCATCAGAGTGGCACCCTCTTCCATCTAGCTCACCCGGCAGCACTGCACAGCTCACAGCACCCTTTTGGTGCTGACAACAGTGATGACATGAGATCTACCTCAGATACTGCAGATTACACTGAGAGTGTTTCAGAGTCTCACACAACAGCAGCAGCATCTTATCACTGTGGACACTGCCTTCCAGGGTCAAGTGAGTAAGGGTCTTCTTACCAACGAAAGCCAGACAGAAGTCCCCATATGCGTCAGCAGGGGAGACGTTTTTAATCCTAGGAAAAATAAAAAAGAGGGATTCTGTCTTGGGTGCTATGGATGGCTGGTGCTGTGAACACCTGGTAAGATGAGCTATCAAGTCAAAATGGAAAGGGGAAGATGGTCTGATATGCTGACTTGAAGGATAAGTCAGTGGAATGACAGCTGGAAAGGGAAAAAGGAGGGACTATGGATGGAAGTAGAAGGTGGTGATGGGAGGGAAGAGAGTGAGATAGCTAAGGGCTTGGCACACCCTTGTCTCTGCTCATGCTAGTCTGCAGATTCCCCTCCTTATCTGTTTGTATCATATAATTTCCTTCAACATTCAGCTCACAAACTTCCTCCCCTCCCCGTCAACACCTACTGACATCTTCTAGAAAGAATAAATTACTTCTCCATACATCTTCACATGGTCACCTGCATTTCTACAAAGCAGTTCTGATTTAGACTACGTACGTTATGGTTTCTGAGTTAGTAATGCATTACAGACTTCTCGAAGGCATGAACCATTAAGAGTTGTTTTGTTTTGTTTGTTTATTTTCTTGTCATCTAGCATATAATTGTGGGATTTTAAGTGGGATTAAAATAAATCTTAAGTGGAATATAATATGGGTTTTCCCTAACCAAACTGTAGGCTTCAAGAAGCAACTCAGCATTAAAAAAAATAAGTTTCCTAGCACATGAACTGTGCCATCTCCTTCAACAGAAGAGTCAACTGACCTTATGGTATATAGTAATGATGCTAGCTCATAATTTATCCTGTGCACTTAGTAGGAGATAACAGGAGAAAGGAAACTTTCAGGGCCTCTTTTTAAAGCATGCTTAACGTACCCTAATTTGAGATGCAATCAATACCCACATTGCTGCCTCTTCTAGCAAACCCTTATTTCAGATCCTCACTTCCACTTGTTTTTAGAGCTTCTTAACCTGTTTCTATTTAGCACCTCTGAACCAGGCAGTAGTACATCCCTCTGCTGTGAAATATTCTTCTCCCTAAACTCGCAGTTGATCTTACAACCCTTTACCCTTCATTTAAAGACAGCGAGCATTCCCTGTGGCTCATCCAAAAGAAGCTTCAAAATTAAATTGTCAGCAGAGTCATAATGAGGGGGCCACCAGCTGTCCAGAGCCCCTTCCTTAATTGTCTTAAACTCTCAGTGGCACAAATTACAAATGTCTTCTCATGTAACATCTTACAAACCAGAGCAGTGTAAGTTTTTCAAGGCTACACAGAAGAAATTGATACCTTTGCTGGCACCAGCCCGCATTAGATTTTGTTGCTTTGCACACACAAATTCTATGGCATTTGGAGAAGCTATTGTCACCTGACACCAGCAGGTACAGTCAGTTGATGTGTGGCATAGCTATTAGTTCCAAGTTAATAGTACTACATTTTCAGGGGCTTCATTAAGGCTTCTAAGACGTGTCGGCTTAGGGGAAATTTTCCACAAAGTATCTGTATACAGTTTTGAACAAAACTTATAAAGTTTATCCCCTGAACATATATTGGTTGGAAAGGGCATCCTAATATTCACCTGTCAAGATGGCCCACATCGGCATTCACGTCTGCCAGAGCCATCCTTATCCAGACTCACTTCTCAACCACACTCCATACACTCATTATAAGTTCTTTGTTGCCTCACTGACATGTTCTTGTGTATGTATTTGAAACTTTCCTCTCTGGATTATCTCCCCAGTTCCCACTCAGGTCTCCTTCTGAGATGTATCTGCCTGTTTCCTTTGGGCTGAGTTTCAAACATGCCTCATAGCAGATGCATGGGAGCACCTGAACTCTTGGCCAGATTTTATGACAACGACTTACTGTCATATGATCCAGATGCACCTATAGTGGATGTTTGCAGACTTTCGGACTCTTGGCCAGATTTCATAAAAATGATTCGATGTAATATATAATCCTCGCATTAGACACATTTAAGGATGAGAACCATTTCATTTCTTTGTATTCTGAGCACCTGGCTAATTGGAGCCTGGTCTGGCATTCCAACATCGTTCTCACATTAAAAAAAAAAAAAAAAAAAAGACCTGGGAACAGCCATTACAAGATGAGCTTCTACTTACACCACTTTCTGGAGATGACAGGTGACATGGGTGATCTGCTCACAAAGAATCCTCACGGAGGAGTGACTCAAGAAGCTTTGACCCACATCCAGAAAGCTCAGGTTCTTATTTGAACGGAACACAGAACAAAGATCTGTCCAGAGACAAAGAGCATGATGGTCTTGCTGTGACCTAGGAGAATGTGATAGACAAGAGCACCTGTTAAAAATGCTTATGGGAAAAGTAATGACAACCAGTAGGTCATTCCACAAAGGAAACTGTCAACAAAGTAAAAAAGCAACCCTCAGAATGGGAATAAATGTTTACAAATCATATCTGATAAGGGGTTGATATCCAAAATATATAAAGAACTCAAACAACTCAATAGGAAAAAAAGTCCAATTATAAAATTGGCAGAGGGCCTGTATAAACATTTTTCCAAAGAGGATATACAGATGGCCAACAGATACATGAAAAGGAGCTCAACATCATCTTTTCATCAGGGAAATGCAAATCAACATCACAATGAGATATCACTTCACACCTGTCAGAATGGCCACGATCAAAAAGGCAAGAGGTAGCAAGTGTTGGCAAGGTGTGAAGAAAAAGAAACACTTGTGCACCATTAGTGAGAATGTAAATTGGTACAGCCACTATGGAAAACAGTATGGCAGTTCCTCAAAAAGTTAAAAATAGAACGATTGTATGACCCAGAATTTCCACTCTTGGGTATTTATCTGAAAAAAACAAAATCACCATCTCAAAAAGATATCTATACCCTATGTGAGGCAGCATTATTCCTAACAGCCAAGACATGGAGGCAACATAAGTGTCCATCAATGGATGACTGAATAAAGAAAATGCGGTACACATATACAATGGAATATTATTCAGCCATAAAAATGAAGGAAATTCTGCCATTTACCACAACATGGATGGACCTTGAGGACATTATGCTAAGTGAGATAAGGCAGGCAGAGACAAATACTATATGATCTCACTTATATGTGAAATCCTTTTTAAAAATTAAAAATTTAAAAACAGGAAGGAGGAGAAAAAATGGTGTAGATGATAGAGGCTCTGTTTATCCCTCTGGCGACTAAATCAAAGTTTTGATGGAAACAAGAAGCAAACAGCAAGGAAAATCACCTGGGATCTAGGTAAACAAGCCATACAACTAGGGAGAGGACTAAGAGTTCACCCTGCAATGGCTGAAGTAGGACAGGGCTAGGACGTGAGGTTGCCCATCCCGAGCAGCTGAGCAGGACAGAGGCAACAGTAGCTGCAGACACCTCTTAAAGGGGCCATGTCTGCAAATGGACTTTTGCAGTGATGGACCTGCTCACTCTGAGCACCAGCACTAGTTCAGCTGCACAGGGGGCACCAGGGACTTACATGGGGACACTGAGTTGTCAGAATGAGGGCCAGAGGCTAGGGTCTCTCCCAGACAGAAGTGCCAGGGGTATCCATTGTTCCTCTGTTGAGCCCTCCCCACTCCCAAGGAGCTGACACAGCGCTGTCATAGCTGAGATGTCATCAAACTGAATGACAGAGATTGCTCCGCCCAGAGGATTCCCTGAACTCTGCCTCTCCCAGCTCGGGGCCCCACCTAAGCCATATCGAGGTGTATCCTCAGCGAGTCAGGTGCTCCTTGCTGAGCAGAGCCTCGACTCACACTAGTGGCAGCTGGCCTCAGTTACTGGCATGGCCTTTTGAGGCAATTATAAGCACAGCATCTGTGGATTGCTTGCTGAATCTTAACAGGTGGCCCAGAGAGGCAGACACTGGGGCTAAACTTGGCATGCAGCTGAACCCTTCTCAGGACTGTGCCACTGGACACCTACTACACAAAGCCATGCTATTGAGACAGGGAGACTTAGGAGCTTTGCTTAGTACGTAGAAACAGACACAGAAAGGCAGCCAAAATGGGAAGACAAAGAAGCAGAAAGCATATGAAAGAACAGAACAGAGATCCAGGAATAATAAATCCAGGAGTCAAGCAATCTTACAGATGCAGAGTTCAAAACACTGGTTATAAAGATGCTCAATGAACTTAGGGGAAGTATAGATGAATTCAGTGAGAACTTTAACAAAGAGATAAAAAATATAAAAATGGAAATGGAAATTATAAAAGGGAACCAGTCAGATATGAAGAACACATTATCTTAGATAAAGAGTATATTAGATGGAAAAAAAAACAGTGAATAAAGAAGGTCAAACCACTGATATAGAAGATGGGGAAGCCAAGGACACTCAATCAGAATGGCAAGAAAAAAGAAGCCAAGACTATAATAATAATTTAAGGAGCCTATGGGACACTATTAAATGTAAAAATATTTGTGTCATAGGGGTACCTGAAGGAAAACAAGATGTTGAAGAGCTATTTGAATAATGATGAAAAACTTCCCTCACCTGATGAAGGAAATAGACATACAACCCCAGGAAGTTCCGACAGTCCTAAAAACCAGGAACTCAAAGAGGCCCACACCAAGACACATTATAATTAAAAGGCCAAAGTTTAAATACAAAGACAGAATCTTAAAAGCAGCAAGAGAAAAGCAGTTAGTTATCTACAAGGGAGCACCCATAAAATTGTCAGATGATTTCTCAAAAGAAACCTTGCAGGATAAAAGGGCTCAGCACAAAATATTCAACATGATGAAAACCCAGGATCTACAGCCAAGAATACTTTAACCAGCAAAGCTATCATTTAGAGTCAAAGAACAGATAAATTCCCGGACAAAAATAAGCTAAAAGAATTTATCAACACCAAGCCCGTATTACAGGAAATGTTGGAGGAAATGTCTTTAAGAAGAAAAACATGTATCAAAAACATGAATAAAAATGGTAATAACTACATTCCTATCATAAGTACCTCAAATGGAAAAGAATTAAATGCTTCAACCAAAAGATAGAGTGGCTGAATGATAAGAAAACAAGACCCCTACATATGCTGCCTACGAAAGGCTCACTTCAGATTAAAAGACACACAGACTAAAAGAAATGGGATGGAAAGAGATATTGCCTTAATGAACCTAGAGAGTATAGAGCTGAATGAAATGGGAAGGATAGAGAAAGACAAATACTGCACGATTTCACATATGTGTGGAATCTAAAGAACAAATAAACAATAAAACCAGTAATAAACTCAGAGAATATTTTGAGGGCTACTAGATGGAGTGGGGTTAAGGGTGAGAAAAAAGGCAAAGGGATTAAGAGGTACAAATGGATAGTTGCAGAATAGACATGGAGATGCAGAGTGTAGCAACGGGAAGATGGTTAGTAATGTAACATGTAAGGAGGAAGAGGGGTACTAGATTTAGTGGGGTGACTGCTTTGCAAGTTATGTAGATCTCTGATTACTAGGTTGTACAACTAAAGCTGGTATATTATTGTATGCCAACTATAATTGAAAAACACTCATTGAATTGTACAATGTAAATATGAGCAACTAATTGTCTATTATATTTCAATAAAGCTGGGGGGGACATTTAAAAAAGAATATCTGCTCAGAAACTTAAAAAAGTAGAAAAATGGAAAAACACACCAAACTCATAGATACAAAGAACAGATTGATGGTTGGCAGAAGCAAAGGTTGAGTGAAATGGGTGAAGGGAGTCAAAAGGCACAAACTTTTAGTCATACAATAAGTAGGTCATGGAGATGTAATATACAACATGGTAACTATATTTTTTTAAATTGGTAGTGAGGAAAATAGATGTCCCCAGGCACTCTCCATGTTTCATCCTGAACTCATGCCCCACATGAAAACTATGACCCTAAAACAGAAGGAGAAAGATTGGGGGGGGAGGGGGGAGCACACAGTGGAGTATACAGATGCCATGGAATAAAGTTGCACATCTGAAATTTATGTAATATTATTAACCAGTGTCACTCCCAATACATTTAATTTTTTAAAGGTTCCAAAGCCTCCATTCCTGATACGAACATTGTGGTATCTACCTAGAATATAGAGCAGGTAGGAAGAAATTCCAGCAAGGAGGAAGACTGACCAGAAGCCAGAGGGAACAGGAGAGTGTCCCCTTCCCAGTAGAGCACCCGCAGAGCGAGAAGTGACAGTTCTTACCTCTCCACCGGAGCGTCTGATTCCAATGCCGTGTCACTCTCCAGGAATATCCCCTTTTCTACCTGCAGCAAGATCTTCTGCAAGTTCTGACAGTGCCTGAGGCAGAAGGACGAGTGCACGAGGTCCATTCTAGTCTTCACGCGCAGGGACACCTCCGTGACGTGGTCCATGGCGTCCCTCACGAGCAGCTCCTCCTGAGACTCGTGGAGACAGCGCATCACCTCGCTCAGGTCCATCGTCCAGAAGGGCTCGGACTTCAATAGCTCCTGTGCCACCCCGGTTGTCACCCGGCAGCCGAACGTGGTTTCCAACTCCCCGGCCATCCTCTCGTTCGCGAGGCCGAATAAAAAGCGGGCGACGTGGGCCAGGCCGGGGTTCTTCAGTCTCTCTTCCTTGGAGAGCAGCTCCCGCGCGTCCCTGATGTCACCCCCAAGGCGACCTCTGGCACCCTCGCCGTCATCCTCCAGGATGTAGAACACGGCAGTGAGGAACTGCTGGATGCTGAGGTGGACGAAGGAATAGCAGCCCACGCTGTCCACGTCCTTCTGCAGGACCTCCGCATCTAGGAAGGGACGTAGCGCAGCCTCCGTCAGCCCGAGCGCCGCCAGGTCCTCGGCGTCAAACACCGATGTCCGTGCCCACATGCCCCCGGCGGCCAGGAGGCACGCGGCCTGCAGCGGCGCCGGGCAAGGGCGGCTGCCGGAAGCCGGCGTGAACTGGCCGCACAGGAAGTGCAGGAGCAGCGCGGTGGCGGTTCTGCAGGTGGTGGCAGGGTCCTCTCCGTGCTCCAGCTGCAGCTTCAGGCAAGCGCACAGCAACCCGCACACCGCGGGGGCCGCGCCCAGGCGCCACAGGCCGGGGTGGCTCTGCATCAGCGCGAGGGCTCGCAGCGCCTGCCCCTCATCCTCGAAGTGTTTCAGGATGCTCGCCTTCCTGTCTGGCTCCGACAGTCCCTCGACCTCCACTAGGAGCGGCTGGTCTAGCAGGTGCCGCAGCTCTGGCAGGGCCTCCGGCCGAGTGGTGACCAACAGCGTGGCCTGCGGGGATAGCTGCCTCTTCAGCAAACTCCCTAGGAGGACGGGCGCCGGCTTACGCATGTTCCAGTCGCTGCAAATGTCGTGGATGAGTGACCCCGAGGGCACTCTCAGCTCATCGAAACCGTCCACGACGAACAGGAGCTTCTGTGCCGGGGCTCGCGCCTCTGGGCGGGCTTCCTGTGCATCAGGTGTGTTCTTGGAGATCAGCTCTGCGAAAGTGCACGTCCCCTTGCGGTTGAGCTCCTTGCAACTGAGATAGAAGGCTGGGCTGAGGATCTTTGCGAGGCTGTCCCGGGTCCAGTCCAGCATCACCTTCTTAGCCAGTGTGGTTTTCCCAATGCCCGCAGGGCCGTGCAGCACCACTGTGAGTGGCCTTAGCTGTGTGGGTGTTTCGGGATTCAAGAATAACGCCAACTTTTGGCTTCCCTGGGTAATTGTCTGGTGGACACCATCACCATCTTTACGCCAAAACTTCTCCATCATACTTCTCTCTCTCCTCCTCCTCTGTAGTGATATGCAATGGGAGAAAGTTAGGGTGCCAGTGATTACAATCAGCTGGAAAAGTCTTTGTAAAGGACCAGAAATGAGGAATACCTAGAAGAAGCAAATTATCTTGCATTTTACCAAATGTCAAATGTATGACTATAAGGCATAATTCATCTATCTAGATTTTCTAACCTCCAAGACCCCTTCTGCTTCTCCCAGCTTTGGGTTACCTATCCTTTGTGCTTGTGTGCACTTTGTAAAATACCGGTGGATGGAAGCTGGACCCACAGGGTTGTTTTTACTTCCTAGGTCAAGCGTTATTGTAAACAAGGAAAATTTTAAATATTCTTGAGTTATTTCATTTGTATTATGGTAAAAAATACACATAAAATTTTTAACTGTTTGAAAGAGCACAATTCAGTGGCATTAAGTGCATTCATAATATTGTGCAATCATCACTACCATCTAGTTCCAAGTTTCATCACCCCAAACAGAAACCCCATACCCTACTTTCCCCTTCCCCAGCCCCTGACATCTGCTAATTTGCTATCTCTGTGTGTTTATTATTTGTGGCATTTTACATGAATAGCATCATAAAATACATGAATGACATTTGGTGTATGGCTTCCTTCCCTTAGCTTCATAGAGACAGTCTACTTTTGATTAACCAAGCTGTGTTGTCAGAGGAGCTAAAAGGACATACACACTATTGGAAGTGATTGAATCTATCAAGTCTATACTAAGGGGGAAATTATGTACTTATACACCAAATACCGAGGAACGAGTCAAAAACCATGTGTCAGGTCTCTCACCGAGAGCTACAAGTTTGTAAACAACGTCAAAGAAATTAGCAATAAACAGAAAGGACACTCACTGGGTTGGAAGGCCGTCTTATAATATTGGTTCTTTCCAAATTGTTCTACAGTTTGCATGAATTCCCATTCAATATCCCAACAGGTTCTAGTATTTTATGAGCTAAGTTTAAAGTTTATATGGGAATGCCAAGATGTAGAAGCACATAATCAAAACCACATGCAGACAAACAAGAGTTGGAAGACTTACAGTACAATATAAAAATATGGGTCCAAATGAGATAGAAAAAAAAAGTGTCCAGGGTGTGCCATTTGAGAAGGCACTCACTTGTTTTACCCTAGTCTGACCCCAATACAGACTTACTATAAACTAGAGCAAATGATAGGAAACTGACAAAGGTAAACGATGGACCAATGGGAGGGATTTATGTGTTTATGAACAGACTCATGCGGTCAACGTCTTACAGCTGCGACGCTGCAGTGCAGAGCTACAGGGAGGGAACAGTCTTTTCAATAAGTAGTATTGAGTTAATTAGATATTCACATTAAATAAAAACAACAGAGGATTCAAGATGATGTAGAAGGTAAAGGTTGTACACACCTCCTCTAGCAACCACACCAAAATTATAACAAAACTACAAAGCAATCAGTATGTGGAGTCACCAGAGGTCTGGCTGAATAGAAGCCCTACAACTAGGTCACCTATAAATTGAGGTGGGAAAGAGACACGAATGACCCAGTCCCACAACCGTGAGTGGCCATCAAGAATCAGCAGGGCAGAGAAAGTCTTGTTGCCTTTTCCCAAAGGCAGACCTGAGCAACAGGGAGTCCAGCCTAGGGGTAAAGAAATAGAAGGGCAGCTATAATAACGAGTCCTAACGAATCTAAAAGATGTGTAATTGTTATTAGAACAGTTTAACCGAGAACATTAATTTCTGTTTTCCAAATCTTTATCTAGTATTTTGCAAAACTTAGGGCGCAGTAAAATTGTAATAGGAGCTTGTTAAAAATGTAGGCATCTGGTCCTCATCTTTGCAATGTCCCTTCAAGGAAATCTCAGATGAAGCCCAGAAATAAGTGATCCAGATGATTTTTCTCCCCCTCTGACTTCGTCTAAGATATTTTCTGTGGACTTCAGCAGAAACATGGTGGAGTGAGAGATGTCCCCAGATCTATCCCCTTGAAACAACAAGCTGAACATCTAAAATTCAACAAAAAACACCCAAACTGCACACCAGCACATCTGAGCATGGGATCTGCACATAAGAGCTACCACAGATCAGAACCCCGGGTATCAGTTGGTGGACTGGGAAAAACAAAGAAGCTGCCTCTCGCAGCCACCAGAGCTCCCTGTAGGAGGAGGGGGAGGGGTGAAGGTGCAGGAACTTCCCTAAACAGCCCTGCCTGGAACTGCCGTGAGCTCCCTGTGAAGGGTGGAAGGGCCCAGTCATCAGGGCAGATGCGAGTCGGGACCACAGAGAAAGAACAGTTGATTTTTACCAGCCAGGTTGCAAAACCAAGGCTGAGCTGCAGTCCCCAACTCCCAACCCAGAAGGCCCATCTCCCCATACCCTCCAAGACTGATCACCCTGGAGCCCCAGGGGAATCAGAGCAAGCGCTGTCACTGACACTAACAGGAACTGAAACTGAGGGTAGCGAGCATAATTAAATATCTATAAGAAAAATTTTTATAAAGGCATTTTAAGGCTTTATATAAAGCAGGGATCCAAGATGCTTAGATACCACCTACTAGAAACCAAAAGAAAAGTGCCTTCTTTGCAACAGGCTAAAGAGAGACCTTTATATAATAAACCT